AGAAGACAATGGAATGGTATATATAACACCATGAAAGAGAAAAATTTCCAACCAAGAACTATGTACCCAGCAAAACTGTCCCTCAAATATGATGGTGAAATTAGGACATTTCCAGATAAGCAGAAATTAAGGGAATTTGTTAAAAAACCAGACCAACCTTATAAGGGATGCTAAAGGGAGCCCTTTGGACAGAGAAGCAACAATAGCCAACAAAAACTGACCATTAACACACATGATGATATAACCCAGAAACAAACCCAGCTATGGAAGTATCCAAAGTAAAGGGGCCTACAAGATTGTAAACAGGGAACCAGAGAACCAGAGACATCAATTGACAGATGAGGACAACTACAAACCACAATGAGGGAAAAAACTGTGTCATTACAGAACTTCTAGATGGTAGGGAAGTCAAGACAACTGCAATATAGAACTGACTGTCTAAACTTGGGAAGAAAACTATAAATCACCAGGTAACCTCAAGGAAAAATGATAATCCTTCACACCAAAAAAGAGGATTAGCATAAATATTCAGCAAATACTAAAATAATAGCAATTCATAACCAAAACGAGCTCAGCACAGAAAATTATATGGAACAAAGAAATCGACACCACGATAAAGCATATAACAAAAATGACAGCAACAATTTCGTATGTGCTGATAATTACACATCTGGCAAGGGACTTACCTCTAAGATTTATAATGGAAGAGTGGATGAACCAACTATGGTACATACACGGAATGGAATGCTATGCATCACTAAAGAATAATGTAGAGTCTGCAAAACACCACATAATATGGATGAACTTGGAGGACATTATGCTGAGTGAAATAAGTCAATCACAGAAGGACAAATATAGTATTAGTTCATTGTTGTTGAGGGTCAAGGAAAGGTTTATATATGGTGGGAAGCTTTCTTTGTTGGTTGCCAGGGGTGGGAGGAAAGGGGATGGAACATTGGAAAAAAAAAAGCATTGACCCATGTCACTTTAGTTTTGTGTATTTCACTGTACATAAATTATATTTCAATAAAATGCATTTTAAAAATAAAGATTGTCATGATGGATGTACAATTTCATAAACTTACTATAAGTCATGGCTTTGTATACTTACTAATAATGTGTAAATTTTACTACATGTGCATTATATCATAATAAAGTGATAAAATAGTAAAAATAAAACAAAACAAAACCCAACAACAACCCACGTCTGGTACTGTTAGCAACTGAGATCCAGATAAACTTGTCACAATTGTTCCCTGGTACTAAAAGTCTACAAAGGTTCTAGACTAGTGAGGACAGAAAATGAGCCACTACTTCCATAGAAGATACTTTGATCCTCTGAAGTTAACATTTTTAATATTCTTCCCCATTACATTTGCTAATCAATCTTTCAGGCTTTGCAGATGTAGCCAGTCCATTATGATACTATACATAAGCAAATGACTTTTTTAAAATCAGAATTTCTTTGGTTTGTTTCAAACAGCTGTGTTTCTCAAGCCACATAAAATGAATTTCTGAATAAAAAAGAAAGATACTCATTTCATGAGCACTTCATTTTGTTCTACTTTTTTTTTTCTGATCATTCCTTTCTAAGGGAAAATAGCATTTATTGAATGCACAGTAAGTATATGGCTTGTTTGCTAGGTCTAATTGCAATTATGTGAGATACATAAAACTGGCCTTATTTAGCAATGGACAAACTTATTCTCAAAATTTTAATAAGGAATGAAGTTGAATTCTAAGCCAGGTCTTTCTGATTCCAAAACTTGTGGCCTATTCTCTCCACTCTGCTGCCTTGTACTAGGTTTAACAAAGATTTTCAAAACTTTTGTACAGTTGTTGATAAACACCTAAACTATATCTTTAAAACCTACAGTTTAAAAACCAAGGGATCCAGTTTCTAAAAATTATGAACCACTTTATATTAGGTTATATGCATGTATCTCTTTGCATACATTACAAAAGTTTAAGTAATGATACTTATCTTTAAAACCTACAGTTTAAAAACCAAGGGATCCAGTTTCTAAAAATTATGAACCATTTTATATTAGGTTATATGCACGTATCTCTATGCATACATTACAAAACTTTAAGTAATGATACATATGCACTTGTGCATATACGCTTAAACATGCATATATATGATATGAAAAACAAAATGTTATAAAATTCATTTGCTTTTCATCAGGTGGTTCTAATGTATTATAGTACAGATTATTTACATTTCAGTTCCTCCTCCTAGATTATAAGTAAGTTAAAGATCAAGGTCTTTATTGTATTCATTATACTAACTTTGCGTAATATAATAAAAATCATAGAATGGTGCTCAATTACTGATTATTAATAAATAAAAAATTAAAAATATACACAAAATATAAGGTAGAAACCATTTCCCAGATATATCTTTATTTATAGGCTTTTGTCAGAGAGAAAAAAAAATTTGTAAAAATTTATTTATTCATCTTCTCTGCAAATTTAATTAGAGCAGTGCTTCTCAAATTTTTTGGTTTCAGGAGGGGTTTATAGATTTTAATATTAACAAGGGAAATTGAATTAAGTATTGAGGCTAGAAATATTTATAATAAGAATTCAATATCACTTCTGTTATCCTTATACTTTGAAATGTTTTTCTAGTTGTAGTAAAAGACAATAAATAAAAATATGTTGAAAAGTAAATAATAAAGTAGAGATTATCTCTGTAATATAGTACAAAAAGAGTAGTAGAGCTATAGAAACAGATACATTGATACAGGATGCTGATGATTTAGTAAAAATCATTTCTATCATACCTTCTGAAAAAAAATAAATAATTGTTTATTAATAACAGGTGGAGAGTATTATGTTGTTTTGGCTTATGAGCTGTAGGACTAGTTTGTAGCAAGTAACTACTTGTAGCAAAAACAAACAGAGAAACAAAAAGCCTCTGGATTTTAAGCATAACCCCTGAAATTTCATCAGTTCTTAAAATATAATATGAACAGCAATAAAACTATGAAAGGTTGAATTTTTTGTGTTTGGTATAAGAAAAATTACCGAATCATAAAAGGAAAATAGTATTAGACTCCTAATTCATTCATTCTCTAGGAAAATAAAGAGAGAAAACTTGAACCAAGGAAAATCTATTCCACATTCACATGCTACATGGTCTATAATGTGCAAGCAATGACAGCAGATACACTGAAGAAATACCTCCTCTTCTTCCTTGTTACATGAGCACTTGAAAAAACTCCTAGTAGATATATAATGTCAAATCTACTGCCTGTACATATATCCACAAACAAATACATATGTTTATGATCATTTTCTGTCGAGTTACAGTGTCTATAAAACATAAAGAATATACTTGACTGAGAATATAGGTAATATTACTCTTTTGACAATTTATTAATGTTGGCAAAATTTATCTTTAACCTCATATATTTAAATAATGAAATTTTTAAATAGAAAATCCCATTCTTTCAGAAGTGTCAAGGTCATGTAAAAAAAAAAGAACACTGAAGAACTTGAAGATTAGAGGAGACCAGAGAATCACTAGGTGTGCCCACCTGAGCTATGGTACTTTCAATCACCTCATATGCGTGTGAGAGCTGGAAAATGAATAAGGAAGGCCACATTAATAAAGAAGACCAAAGGAAGAGGGAGATCAAAGGTGAACTGATGCCTTTGAATTGTTGGTGAAGAAAACTGAAAATACCACAGACTTCCAGAAGAATGAACATATCTGTCCTGGATGGAGTGCAGCCAGAATGCTCCTTGGAAGCAAGAATGGCCAGACTTCGTCTCACCTACTTTGGTCATGTTGTCAGAAGGAGAAGGATATCAAGCTTGATAAAGTAAAGGGTCAGTGAAATGGGGGAAGACCCTCAATGAGATGGGTTGACAAAGTGGCTGCAATGATGGGCTCAAGTATATAGCAAGGATTGTGAGGATGGTGACCAGGTAGTGTTTTGTTCTGTTGTACATAGGGTCACTATGAGTCGAAGTTGACTCCACTGTACCTAACAACAACAACTGAGAATCATGACAACTCATTGCAGTGTGGGATTCTAGATTAGATCCTGGGCCAGAAAGAAAGAACATTAATGGGGAAATACAAACTTTGAATGTAGTTTGTACATTTGCTAGTACTATCAAAAAACAAAAAATAACTGCCATCGAGTCAATTCCGACTCATAGAGACCCCCAATGGGTGTCCAAGGCAGTAAATTTCTGTGGAAACAAATTTCCCCATGGAAACAAATTTCCCCATCTTCCTTAAGTGGAGCCACTGGGGGGTTTGAACTTCCAACCTTCTGGCTAGCAGTCAAATGCCTTAGGCACTGCACAACCAGATCTCCATTGACAGAATCATATCAGTGTTAATTTCTTGGTTTTGAAAATTTTACAGTGGTTATGTAAGACGTTAACATTAGGGCAAGCTGGGTGAATGGTGGGAAGAACAACTGTTTGTGTTATTTTTGCATCTTTTCTGGGAATCTAAAATTATTTCAAAATAAAAAGTTTAAAAAAATCCATTATAAACTTTAGTTTACAAGAGGACATAAATGAACAAACAGTATAATCAACAGTGTTGAATTTGAGTAAGTGTTCCTTAAAAGAATGCGAGAGAGTTTCTTGACTCCTGGATAAGAATGGTTTATAGTCCTAAAAACAGTGGCCATATTATTTTATAAAACAATGGTTACAGAGCATTCATATATAACAAAGTACACTTAATAAAAAGGAGGATGTAAAAAGTGCATTTGGTAACTTCTTATATTAAAAATCATGTCATTAATGTATACCAGAAAACCAAACCCACTGACATCAAGTGCATTCTGACTCACAGTAATCCTGTATTAATGTGTATTACGTGCAAATATACTTGGAACTTATTGTTTACATTTTCCAAAGAACATTTACATAAAAAGTGACATTTCCTAAATTCAGCAAGTCATCTAAACTGAAATAAAAATATGTATTAATTAAATAAGAAGACTGATTGATTTGATTTGCTTTACCTGAAACTGTGTGATCCTTAGAGTCTCTTGATATTTTTATCCTTGCATGAGGAAAAATGTAGTGCACAGTCTTCCCATTCATCTGTAGAATCTAAGACATACACATGACAAGGTGAACAATCAATGTTGAAACACTTACAACACAGTATACAGAATTACATGTGCTTATTTAAAAGCAGGTTATTTGGTAAGTAAGTATATTAGAACACTTTCAAGTGATAATAATTGGAGCACCATTGGTTTCTGAGAACTTACATGAAAGTTTTATTTACAATTTTGGGTTTTGCATTTATAACAAATTCTCTTACAAACTGATTAGCTTTATTTAGTAAGTTAATGAGAGAACATGGAACAAGTTCTAAAGGACATCTCTTAACACAGTGGTAAGCAGAGAATAATCAATAAAAGTGGGTAAACCATGTGCATGGAAAACTGTAATGTACGAACTTCACTCTGGACAGTTTAGAGATAGAATGACATTTTAAACTTTTCAGCAATTAAATGGTGCTATGAAAGAAAAGCTAGAGATGGTCCTTACACCATGTATCTCTATCACTATCATGGGAATGCTTTACCTTTATATTGCTCTGATTTTACTGAGGAATCGTTATTTTTGCTGAGCTCATCTAACAGTTTCAAAGTACACTGGATGCTGGTATTAATTCTGTGTAAATCAAAGAATGCTTTGCTCATTCTAATACTTTCTGAGGGCTTCTTTAAATTCAAAGCTTGTGAATTGATGGCATTATTTTTCATTCGCTATAGATACTCCCTGGGATAGAAGAAGCAACACTTAAAGCTACTGTTGCAAGTCTGTGATTTCAATTCTCATTACTGAGTCTTCAACATGAAAATACTAAAGGCCACATTATCTCTATTTTCACCTGGCAAAATGAGTTTTCTGAAACAAATGTAAATCAGTGAAAGCAAACTACTGTTTTATATGTAATAGAGCTTTGCTTTCAGAGGAAATTTGTGAAATAAATGAAATTTTGTTGTCAGGTGCTGCCAAGTTGGTGCCGCCTCATAGAGACTCTGTGTGTAACCGAGCAGAACACCGCTTTGTCCTGTGCCATCTGCACGGTCTTTGCTCCGCTTGAGTCCATTGTCGCAGCCACTGTGTCAATCTATCTCAGTGAGTGTGGGGGTTGTGTTTGTGTGTCAGCTTGGCTGGGCTTGGTCGAGTGGCTGGCCAGCTGGATGTAGTATTCCCCATGATGAGACTGGTAATCAACTCCATGGTGGGATCTACTATGAGTAGTTGGGTAGCTGCCTTTGGGTATGTGGTCTGGTTCCCGTATACAAGCAGAAGCCTTGGGGAATGGTCTCTAGCTTATGGCATGCTTGGACCCTGCATATAGCCGTGTCGTTGTTCAGCAGCCTGCCGTGATCTGCTGACCTTGGGACTTATAATGGACTTGAATTAATGGCCTGCTGTGTGGTTTGGTAACATCAGGACTGTGCCTTTTTATTTGTCGACTTTGGGCTTGTTAGCCTCAGCAGCCAGTAGCTGCCTGAGTGAAGAGATGCCCCTAGCTTCAGTGGGCCGGGAGCAAGAGGCAGAGCTGAAGTGTAAGGTTGAGGGGCTTTCCCCCAGCCTCTAGAGCCTGGCACTTTGACCTTGGATTTAAAGCCTCCAAATTGTGAGAGAATAAACTCCTGTTTGTTAAGCCATCCCATTTGTGGTATATTCTTGTCAGAGAGGCACTAGGGACCAGAACAGTGATGGTCTTCTCTTTTGTTGACCTTCTGCTTTACTAAACACCATGACCTTCTCCAAAGACTGATCCCTCCCGATAATGTGTCCAAATTACATCCTCACTTCTGTGGAGCATTCTGGCTGTACTTCTTCCAAGACAGATTTGCTCATCCTTCTGGCAGTCTATGGTATATTCAATATTCTTTACCAACACCATAATTTAATGGCATCAGTTCTCCTTTGGTCTTCCTTATTGACTGTCCAGCTTTCACATGCATAGGAGGCAACTGAAGATAGATAGCATGGCTTTGGTCAGGTACACTTTAGTCCTCAAGGTGGTATCTTGTGTTTTAATACTGTAAAGAGGTCTTTTGAAGCAGATTTGTCCAATGTAATATGTGTGATTTCTTGAATGCTGCTTTGATTGTAGATCCAAGTAAAATGACACCATGACAACTTCGGTCTTTTCTCCATTTATCATGATATTGCTTAGTGGTCCAGTTGTGAGGATTTTTGTTTTCTTTATATTGAGGTATACTGAAGGCTGTAATCTTTGATTTTCATTAGTAAGTGATTCAAGTATTCTTTGCTCTCAGCAGGAAAGTTGTGTCATCTGCATATCGCGGGTTATTAACAAGTTTTCCTCCAATCCTGATGTTCTTCCTCAAATAGTCTAGCTTCTCAGATTACTTGCTCACCATACAGATTGAATAAGCATGGTGAAAGAATACAACCCTGATGCACACACTTCCTGATTTTAAACCATGCGATATCCCCTTGATCTGTCCGAACAACTACCTCTTGTGCTACGTGCAGGTTCTACATAAGCACTAGTAAATCTAGGCTGTAAAACTGATAGAATTTGGATATGAAAGGTAAAAAAATGCATTGATAAACACAAAAACTACAAATATTGTCTTTTGTTTTTATTTTCTTTAGGAAAGTCCATGGGTAAGCAGGCCTCTGAAGAGCATAAAACACTAACAATAGCAGAATCCTCTTAAGTCCAGGATGTTACATAATTTCTTCTTAGTAAAATCAAAATACTGATGGTAGGATTATAAAAATATCAGGAGCAGTACATTCAGTCAATCCAGGTAATTGATACTAAGTCTAACTTTTGAATGCACTGAAAATCTAATTTTTATTCATAGCAATTAAAGCTTAAAATTTCATTCTCTTCCCCATTCTTTTGCTTCTTGTTCTCAATACCTTTCCTTTTTCCCAGACTCGCTCTGTATTTTATCTTGCTTCTACTTTTCTTCTCTCTCTCTCTTTTTTTTTTCTTCCTTCCCCCCTTCGAGTATATGCATTTAAGGATCTTTATTTTGGCTAAAAATTAATTATATGCATTAAAATTTCTACAACTACTAGGTAAAATTGAACTCGGCCTTGGTCCTGTAAATAGTTCAAATAGAAACTGTTGGAAACTATTTCATTGTTTTCCAGTATATTCTAATTTCACGTATTATTTAATAATGATATTCAAAAACCTTTTTCCCTCTCTATAAAAAAAATAAAACAGAAAAAAAAAAGTTTCTGATCTCATTTTATCCCCAGATCTCTGAAATGATAAACTCATAGTACACTTTTGCACAGTTTAGAAGAGTAGTCAGGCAGGTTTCCTAAGATTTTATCAGCATTTATCAGCCTCCAGTTCTGCCTTTTAATTTATACCTGTGATGATGTTTGGTGAAAGAGACACTATACATCTTCATTTTTAAGAATGCACAACTAGCTTCATGAGTTCATTTAATTAATCAGAAAAATTAAACATATGGTGATCAATATGACCAGAAATATATAGAAGGCTGAAGTATCTGTCTCCTATGTATAAACTAGGGAGATTTTCCATGCCCCCAACCTTCAAAGGTGAAAGTTGGGAGTGTTCTATCAGGTTAAGTGTTGCTTTTGATAAGAGTAGAAGCTAGTCCAAATGACAGAGCTGATGACAATTACCACCCCATTCTTCTTCCCAAAGGGCTGGTCTCTGATATTACTATCCTTTGGTGATTCTGCATTGAAGAAACTATTACCTGTATGCCTCCCAGATATAGAATTGTCCTTCACTACATCCATTTCAATATCTTAATAAGGAATTATTGTCTTGAATCTAGTCTTCATACTTTTGAAATAATAACTCTCATGTTAACATATCATTTATTTATACAGACATTCATCTATTACCCCACTTAAATTGATTCTGTCACCATGGGCTAGCTATGCCAGATATAAGGGACAGATTGTCTCACTGGGTTCCAATACTATGTTGTTGTTGTTATGTGCCGTTGAGTTGGACTCGACTCACAGTGACCCCTCCTTGGGTTTCTGAGGTGGTATCACTATGGAAGTAGATTGCCCAGCCTTCCTTCCAAGGAGTGGCTGGTGGGTTTGAACCGCCAGCCTTCTGGTAAGCAGTCAGGTGCTGTAGGCATGCTACCAGAGCTCCCAGTACTATGCTAAGGCACTGCATATATATACCATGATGTATGGAATAGAGAGCTCCTGCTCTCTAGGAAGTCATAACACAAAACATGTTGCTGGGGTACTACTGGGGCACAAAGAACATTTAATCTGGAAGGGTAGTGAGATGGAGATAGTGACAGGAATGCTTCTTGCAAGATGGCATATGTACATGAAGCCCAGAATGATGAGAGGGGTTAGCTTGGAGGTGGTAAGTATGGAAAATAATAGTGTCCAGGGAGATGAAACATTTGAAGACCCAGAAGAGGAAGAGTGTGGTTCTTTCAGAGGAGCTTAATGTGTCTTTATTTATAGTTGCATGGGCATTGCAGAGGGTATGGGCATACGTGTAGAATGGAAGCATTTTCTAAGAGTCAAGAGGTACTGACCTTTACAGTCGCCCTGTAAAAGGATTATTCCTATTTATAGATAAAGTGACTAAAAAATAAATAGAGGTTACATGATGTACTCAATTCACAAAGCAGAGCTAAATTCCCACTGAATAGCGCTGAGGTTAAACCTAAATATATATGTTAGAAGAAAAATATGGATTTGCAGGGTGTGTTTTGTTTTTATAGTTAATATGATTGTGATTCAAGTGAAAAACCTCAAAAATATTCTTCTCTCTTATGTGTTGTCTTTATGTAAAATATTTCTTAAAAGCAGTTTTATGTAAAATATTTTTTAAAATTAGTGTTTGCACTAGAGAATTTGTTTTTATTACTTTGCCTCCAGAGCTTTTTTATGAGCATAAATTCTTGTTATTCATAAATTTTCAAATAAAAGCTTCTGGGTTTATTGGTATCAAGAGCTCAATATTACCTTTCCATAAATAAAAAAGGGATTCAAAGAAGTGAATAAACCAAGTATGCCATTTTCCTATTCTCTCTAGACTAAAATATTGTTATGAGTTAATAAGGAAGAAAATATTTGCAGATAAATATTAATGAAAACAGCATGAATGTTAAACTTTATACAAATCTAATGAAAGTGTATGCTGTCTTCATAATTTCTATTTAAGAAACTATTAAGAAAAACAAAGAAATGATTCTCACAAAATGCAGCATATTTGTTGTCTATATGGAGGAAGGAGTAGATTACAATCTGGGAGAGGCACATGGAGGTTTCTGCGGGCAGTGTTCCCTTCTTGGCCTGTATAGAGGTTATATGTCTGTATAGAGGTTTTACTAGTTGATAACTTTGCATGTTTGTAGTTTTGATAACTGCATAGATAGACTTTTTGTATGCATATTAGATTTCAAAGTAAAAATGTAAAATATTAGTTTTGCCACAAAAGTAACACATTCCTAGAAAATTCACAGATTCTTTGGAAATAAGACAGCATACTGAAAACAAAACAACAAAATTTTGAGAAAAGGAAATTGAAGTTATAGAGGTAAATATAAACCTAAAAATATTACTAAAAATACTATAAACTAGTAATAAAGAACATTTAGAGAAGAATACCAAGATCCCTCCACAATAAGACAGCATACTGAAAAGCAAAACAGAACACAACTCTGAGAAAAAGAAATTATATTTAGCAGTTAGAAATTTATCTGTGAAAACTGAAATTTCTTAGGGAGAAATACAATCTTCTAGTATAGACTATTTGTCTTTTAAACAGCACTTACACATGCAAAAGTCTTGTTGTCTTTTTCATTTTAATACAAAAACACAGAATTATAGAAAGTTCACATAGCTCTACTTTGCAAAGGAGTTAGTTGTCTTTTATACCAGTGAATCACTGCAACTAGAATATTTGAGTTAATGTAAGTGCAATAAGTGGACTGTCTCTCTCTTTTGGTATTTTAATAACTATCCATTCATTCATTATCATGAATGTAACAGCCTGCAAATATCTGATCTGCTAAGGCAACTGATGTAACACCACTAGGATTACTGGAGGAATCATCCTCAATTTACTCACTGTTAACCTTCTACTTAGGAGCTCTGGTGGCGGAGTGCCTAAGGCATTTGACTACTAACAGAAGGCTGGTAGTTCTGGTAGCATAGTGGCTAAGACACTTGCCTGCTAACCAGACGGCTGGCGGTTCAAACCCACCAGCCACTCCTCGGAAGGAAGGTTGGGCAATCCTACTTCCGTAGTGATACTGCCTCGGAAACCCAAGGAGGGGTCACTATGAGTCAGGGCTGACTCGACAGCACATAGCAACAAGTCACTCCTTGGAAGGAAGGTTGGGCAATCTACTTCCGTAGTGATACTGCCTTGGAAACCCAAAGAGGGGTTGCTATGATTCGGATCTGACTCAAATCTTCTACTTACCTTTCAAAACTCAATTCCATTATCACTTCATTTGTTCTAATGTCACATAAAGTCATGAATTTCACTATCTTATTTGCCTCTAGGCTTTAGTTTTGCCATCTCTAAGATGATCTTAATAGTACTCCTTTTTGTAAGTTGTTCCAAAGATAAAATTCTAAGATTGTAAAACAATTAACATTCTCTAAAATATCTATTCCCATCTCTTCCAAGTGGATTCTTTGTCTTCCAGTTGATTCTGTTTGGTCATCACCTTCTTTGCTATTGTTTAACCCCTGAACATCACTGTTACTAGAAAGCATTCTATATTATCCAAATTTATTTTATTATTCTGTAAACTCTTCAGGAGTTCTATGTATAGCAGTGTTGGACATGTCATACAAACTTAATTATCAACAGAGGAAGAAATCACTTAAATACCTGGTTGTTAGAATTACAGTTATGCACCAATGTAAGTAGTTGTCAGTGATTTAATTATAGGTGAAGTAGGGTACTTACCACTTTCAGTTACTGAAAAAAATCATTTGATTGACAAAAGTACCATCCATTCCTTTCAGGATAACTGAGACCATTCCAGGGTAGAACTGAGGTGTTTTTGTTTTTATTGACTAAATGTAAAAGGAATGGCTACATATAACACTTACTTGCTCTTGATGCTCACTGAGTGGTCTAGAGTGGACCAATCTTTCTGGCAATTTTCGATCCAGGCCATGTCCATTTTCCAAACGAGATTCCCTGGGTTTGTCAAACCAATCTGTTTCTTCACGGCGTAGATGATAAGCTTTGGAGACCAAGGAAATATCAAACATTGTAACCCCAACTAGAATAGATGATAGAGGGCAAGAGATGGTCTGCAGCACCAACATGCACTGAGCTTGTTAACCATCCATGCAGCTCAAACACAAGTCTCCATATGACCAGAAAAATCCTTTCCAGTACTATGTTAAAAAAAGTAAAATTACACTAAAATTTTGTAGTATGGAATAACTTACAGAAAATTCATGCACACACCTGTTCAATCTCTTTCAACAAAACAAAATAAAAGATTAAAGTTTTAAAAAAATGTGAAAAAAAAAAAAAATAGATCGTAATACATAGTTTGATCAGGTGGCTCTGGTAGTGCAGTGGGTAAGGCATTTGGCAGCTAATCAGAACATCAGTGGTTTAAAACCACCAGCTGCTCTGTAGGAGGAAGATGAGCCAATCTCCTGTAAATATTTACAGCCTTGGACACCCTAGGGAGTTGCTATGAGTTGAAATTGACTCAATGGCAGCAGGTTTGATTTTTTTTTATATGGGTTGAAAGGAGCTCTGATGGCAGTTAAACCCACCAGTTGCACCATGGAAGAAAAAGATAAGGCAGTCTGTTTCCGTAAAGATTTACAGCCTTGGAGACCCTGCACGGGTCACTATGAGTTGGAATTGACTTGATGGTTTTGGATAGATTGAAAGCTAAAAATTATACTTTTGATAAAAAGTCCAATTTATATTGTCATGGAATTTAATTTAAAGTGTGAACTATGAGCAAAATTTTAAAAAGGGTTGAATATGTACAAAAAAGAAAGATTTGTTCATACTCCTGGAAGTGTAAATAGTTGTGAAAAAATAAAATCAGGTACTCTACCTTCATGACTTCTATAATTAAATCAACATTTAATTTTTTTTTTTTACTTTTTCAGAAGTTACAAAACTTATAAAATATATTTCATTTCTTCAGAGCTGAACATTTATTAAAATGTTTAGGATATGATATATGCTAATATTTTATTATATTAAAACCAAAATGCCACTTTTAAAACAACTCATTTTTGTTATATTATTTTGACTTGAATGCTTAAAATCCATTATAATGATTCAGGAATTTTATCTGCATTTAATATTTTTCCACAAGATATTCAGAAGGAAAAGACTTCCATTTAAAAGTTGCAGCACTTTCTTTGAAGATGCAAAATGAAGATGGCCATTATCACTTAGAGGTGCTCAATCTTAAAGAAGCACATTTAACTTTACTGTTGTTTTGTCCTATTGAGTCAATTCTGACTCATAGCAACCCTATAAACACTCACTGCCGTGGAGTCGAACCCGACTCACAGCAACCCCTCCCTCCTTGGGTTTCCAAGGCGGTTATCACTACGGAAGCAGATTGCCCAATCTTCTTTCTGAGGAATGGCTGGTGGGTTTGAACCATCGGCCTTCTGGTTAGCAGTCAAATGCCTTAATAACTATGCCCCAAAGCTCCTTACAACCCTATAGGGCAGAGCAAAACTGCCCCATAGGGTCCCCAGGTTGTAATCTTTATGGGAGAACATCTCCAGGTCTTCTCTTCTCAGGATCTGCTGGTGAGATGAACTGTTGACCTTTTCGTTAGCAGCTGAGCGCTTTAACCATCGCACTACCAAGACTCCTATGTTTAACTTTCTATTTTCCCAAACTGTTGTATGAATAACTTTTTTTTTTTTTTTTTTGCCAGTGTTGTTTTGTGGGACAAATTAATCGAAAAGGGCAGCTGGCTAACCACTCTCACAGTCTGCCTTACTTAACCTCTGAATGACTACAAACTAAATCTCAGGTAGGAAAAATACTGTTCTGGCTTTACTACTTACATCCTCACATATTTTTATTTTATTTTCCTGATAAGTGAATGCAATTAATGACAAAAATAGATATGGCTATATTTACTACTAACTTTATTGAGGATGGACATTATATTAAAAATTAGTAGACATTACTTTGCTGAGATATAACAAAGATATAACACAGGCAGCTTCCAATGCCTCTGACCTAATTCAATCATGAATTGTTACCACCTGGACAGTGTATGCCAGATTGCACTATCACACTAGAATCCTAAAAGAAACTTTAAATCTAGAATTCCTATAAAACTCTTGTTGTTATTGTTGTTATGTGCCGTCGAGTCAGCCCCAACTCATAGTGACCCCTCCTTGGGTTTCTGAGGCAGTATCACTACGGAAGTAGGATTGCCCAACCTTCCTTCCGAGGAGTGGCTGGTGGGTTTGAACTGCCAGCCTTCTGGTTAGGAGTCAAGTGCTTTAGCCACTATGCTACCAGAGCTCCCATAAAACTCTACAATTGCAAAATTTTTCTGTAACATTAATATATCCTTCTAATCTGGTTTATAACCTGTCAACTTCATCAAATTGATCTAGCTACCCTGGGCACAATTTTTTTTTTCTCTCCCCCTTACTGTTTTCTATTATATTTTCATCCTTTTAGTGTAGGCATCTTGTTTTCAAGCCCTCATTTTCCTGCCACATTCTTTGAAAGGTTGTAGAATAGCTACTCTGAGGATGTTCCTCTCTTCCTCTATCATGCAGTGTAACGACTGGTATGTTCTCCATTTATGCACTGTGCCTTAATGGGCTAGGCTCCCTCAACAGTATCTTAAACTTTTGAGCTAAGGCTATAGTTAATAATTCTTTCATAGATTTTAAAAAAATCTGTTAAGTTCTCACAAATATTCCTCAAATTCAGTATGCCTGTCATCCCTTTTCCAGGGTCTCTAAAAATTCCTTTAGAATTTATTTAATTTGAAAAAGTTTTCTGATTTTTGTAGACTTCAAAGTCTCTTCATGTATACAGGATTTAGCTGATCTTTAGCACATAGAAAGTACTCCAAAAGGTCTGATGAATAAAGAAATAAATGACAAATAAACGAATGAATATTCCTCATAAGAATCCCTTTATTCAGTCTCAGCCCAACAGTTCCCATCTCTTCCCACACTTCCTTGCCCTCCATCACTCGAAGTGTAAGAAAAATATTACATCAACCCAGTACCAACATATAGCTGCTGGCTTTGAACATTAAATCTGTGAAAAGAAGAAAAAGAAAGAAAAAACTTTTCTAAGAGTAGCACCTGGTAATCTAATGTTAAAATATATCTATTGGGATTTTTTTAAATCAAAACAGCAAACAATCTGAAGAGACCACTGAATTGGGAATTGGATTGAAGAGTTAATTGGACTGATTTTTAAGCTTACAATGGGACAAACAACTTGATATCATTAAATATTTTATAAAAATGTAACCACATATAAAATACATAAGTATTATTTTAAATTATTCATCCCACTCAGATGCTAAGGCTTCTTCTGAGACTTTTTAATGCTATTATTAAATGACTAAAAATTATGTTTTATCTAATATATGGAACTTGACTCATTAAGTTGTTTTATTTCTTGTAACAGGATAATTAATAGTCTTTGGAAATACTTCATCACTCCCTAAATGGCAAATGGAGCAATCCTTTCTCAAGTGTTCATCCTGAAAGAATTATTGTTGATGCTTTATGCTTTCTTGAGACTCTAGCTTACACAATGTCATGTCAAGTTTCTCTTCTCTACAGTACAGTTTTCATTCTCTTCTTTTTCTGTCTATATCCTTGATTCTCTTTTCTTCCAAAACAACTTCCCTAGTTTTTTCCCCAGCCATTTCCATTCCTTTTTTGCTGGCAGGGCTGGTAAACCCACAGCATTTATTCCACTACTTACCTCTATACCTCCTGTGACACTGCTCAATGCTGCTAATTAACTGCAGTGTTTTCCTTTTGTCAACATGGGTTGACAGGTGATGTGTCATACTCTACTCAGTCTTAGATTAGAGGCAATACAACACATACCTGGTTTGTGGTTCCACACATACTTGTCTGATTTCCCGCATTAGACCCTAAGCTGCTCAAGGGAAAACCTTCTGTTTTCTTTTAGTTTTTTCCTCTCTCAACACTAAAAACAATACTTTGCACATGGTATAGCAGTCAATAAATATTTGTTGAATGAATAAAACATAGAATAATTAGTCATCAATCAGAGAAAGAAGTATCTTAAACATGGCAAGTACAGTTTAGTTAATACTAATTTGTCCCTTGAAAAACCTTTTTTCACACCCTATTCAATGTTTATTATGTTTTTCTATAGTCTTAATTTGACATCAAGTGACTAAACTTAAGAAAAAACAATTAGTGCAATAAAAATTTTATCAGTAAATACAAATAAAATCCATTATTTAATCAGCAGTCTAAAAACTTACTGGAATATTCCCCACAACTAACACTATTTTGTCATAGTTCCTACAATTTTTTTAATTATATATTACTGTGGAAAAAAAAAAACAACTATGATGATTTGAATAAATAAACTTGAATATTTAACTTTCTGAAGTGCAATTGAAATATAATCCTCTGAAACACATAATTGTCCTTGGCTGTGTCTATGCCAATGAAGCAGAATCCTAGCTCTGGTAGCATAGTGTCTAAGGGATTTGACTGCTAACCAGAAGGTTGGCAGTTCAAACTCACCAGCCACTCCATAGATGGAAGACTGGGCATTCTACTTCCATAAAGATTTATTGCCTTGGAAACCCAAATGGGGTCACTAAGAGGTGGAACTGATTTAATGGCAGTGAGTTTTGTTTTGGTTTAGTAACCTAATCCAAATTATCTCAATTTATTCCTAATCCTGACTACTTTGATTTTCAGTTATTTTTTACAATAATCCTACATGTAATTGAATGAGGGTATCTACTATTATCCTTTGCATAGGAATTTACGGATGAACAAAGAATAAAGAGAAACTAATGAATTTGATTTTCATTTGAATTCTACCTTCATCATTTAGATTAAATTCTATACGAATGCTAATTGATTCCATTTGTTTTATCAGCTGTTTTAAAACTTAAATTTCATAGTAATAACGATATTATTTCCAAATTAGTTTAAATAACTTGCCAGTGAATAACTGTCCCCCCCCCCCCCGCTGCCTTGTGAAGCTGATAGTATTTTTTTTGAATTCTGAAATGTAAAACACAACTAAGATATTCTGGGGACATAATATTGTTCACTGTCAACATTTAACAAACAATTTCATCCTCCTCAGTATCAAATACTAAGTAAAATATTCTTATAAAATGATTTTATATATTGATTCTTTTAAAATGTATAGAGTACATTTTGAAAGAATGTTTTCAACAAAAGATCTGTGGTCAGAGAGTTTAATTATACCAGACTTCCCTCTAATCTGACCCAGATGAAAGATCTTCAGCTTTGTATTACCTCAATTACCTGTGCATAGATATTAAGTTGTGGATTTTAAGGCGATGGCTATAAATATTAAGCAATGTAAATTATGTGTGCCTAGATTTTATTTCGAGTGAGATATTTCAAAGTTTACTAAAGTCATATAGAATACATCTGAAAAACAACTCATAGTCTATAACCGAGAGTTTAATTAAATTCAAAGGAAGCACACAATAAACAATGTGAAATCAGTTAAATTTTGTATTGTCAACATAGAACTAAATAACTTGTTGGAATATTAAATGGTTCAAAGTTAGTTTAGCATGAGTCATGTCTAGATATAGCATATATTTGGTAAATATTTGTAAAAGAAATGTTCCATGAGTTCATAAATATCATGTTACATAACTGAGAAAAATAGTTTCTACTTTTACCTTTGAGTAACCAAGGACTCTAAGACTTAAAAGAAAAGTAGACTATTATTGACCAGAAAAAAAGTAATATGTTTACATGATATAAAAGCAAAGAAAAAATATATTTCACGACATGTATTACTAGCCACACCTCAGAAGGAAGACTGGGCAATCTACTTCCATAGAGATACCGCCTCGGAAACCCAAGGAGGGGTCGTTGTGAGTCAGATCTGACTTGATGGCAGTATCTTTTAAAGATAATCATTACTATTCACATACATAATATTTACATAATTCAAATTTTTATAGTTGTCATTTGTGTAATTGTACATTAACATGTCTTTGTGAATTAATTCTTGCGCTTAACTTTTTAAAATACTTAAATTTTTAAAAATTTTTATTTCAATTATTTTGTACATTTTTAAACATGTCCTAATTTTGTGCACTGTATGCTCTCTCGTAATTTACTTCATCAGAACATTTTTTTCACACAATCTTTGATGACTATGAATACATCGTATCCAAACATACAAGTGGGAAAATATGCAATCATGTATATATGATTGTAGGCCAATAAATGTCACATATTTGGGTATCTAGAAACATCTGTATGTCTGGCATCATGTTGACAAAACATATGTGATGAGTAACAGAGTTTGTCGAATTCTCTCCAGATACATATTTAACATGTACACACAGCCTTCAGGTGTTTAGTTATGTTGTTTCCCCTCCAGAGTTCTTGTCTTACTTTGTTATTTTACAGATATGACTATTAAAATATCTTCTTATTCTTTTCCATAGTCACTTTATATGCATAAAAAATGTGTAAAAAGTGGATTGTAAAAGAAGTAAAGAAAAAAGATAAAGGCTGTTACCACATAATATCATAACTAGTTTAATCACATTGATTCATTTAAACTATTGGTTCAATACAAAAACAAATTGATTGTTTTATATAATTGTCTAATTGTTAACAAAATGGTCAACCCAATAGCCTGTGGAGAAGAAAACAAATGAGAAAGTGAATGTGATTAGTTAAGTTCTGTCCAACTCTAGATTTGAAGTAATAAGATCATGTGTGTCTAGATGTAGACATACAAAGAAAACACTTTACGTGAAAATACGTATTTCCCTGCAAATCCTCAGGAAAGATGTCAGAGCTGAAAGGAAAGATGCTTTAGTGAAGTCCAAAGGCATGAAATAATAATGTTTTATTTGATCAGAAAAGACTTATCTCCAGGATTCCAATGACACTGACATTCAAATATAAACTACAGATGGAAAAAAATTTAAAAGAAAAAAAAAAAACCCCAAAAGTCATTATGAATCTTCTTGGCATGGGGAAGATTTCACACCTCTCTACCACTCTTCTATCTTCTGCAAAATTAAAGTTGGAGTAGACCATTTCCTAAAATCCTTAATCATTCTACATGCTTAAACAGAAAAAAATTACTTTAAACCAGGGTTTATTTAAATCTGTGTTTGTCTTAAATCACTTTGTCAATATGAAAAACTGTAAACAAAGTTTGAGGGCAAAAACCATGAGATAAGAAAAAAAAAAAAAAAGTCAGGGAACAGGCTAAATGTGCACAATAAAACCAAAAATCCAACCCACTGCCATCAAGTCGACTCCAACTCACAGCGACCCCACTGGGTTTCCAAGGCAGTAAATCTTTATGGAAGTAGATTGCCCAGTCTTGCTTCCGCAGAGTGGCTGGTGGGTTTGAACCACCAACCTTCTGGTTAGCAGTCAGTCAGATGCTTTAGGCACCGTGCTACCAGAGCTCCTTAATGTGCAAAATAGAAGTTTCAATTCCAAATAGCTGAATTCATAAAAGAAGTTTTCAAATTTTCAATTTTAAAATATAATGAATGCTTCATACTTACTCATAGATTATTTTCAAAATTATATTTAGTAGTGAACTCTCTAGCTTGTTATGCAAAATGTGTAACCTTGACAATTACAGTGTTTATATTGTGAGAGAGATAAGCTAGATAATTATTATTTAAGGTTAATTAAAAAATTCTACATTATACTAAAATCAAAGGTTTTTCCAAGAGTTTTTAAAAAAAGAATACTTGTGGAATTAACTATTACCAATCTCATAAAAATTACATAAATAATTTTCTATTACAAAATCTAGGAGAGTATTTAATGGTCCAAAACCTTCATAAACCCACAAACTAAAACAAAGAGACCAAAAACTTTAAAATGCATGTTAAAAAAGAAACATACAATGAAAAACCTCCTAAATATGGATTTAAAGGATGACCATATTTTATTGAGAAAATTATTTGATATTGGTTTTAGAAAAGCTGACACCAAACAAAGCAAGCAAACAATCGAGAAACAGAACAGTAAAAGAGTAAACTAAAAAATAAAGAAAAGCATGCTACAAAATCTATACACAAGACAAAATTTCCATTTATAAGAAATAAAATTGAAGTAAACATGCAAAGATGCACCAAGAAAAGTAGAACACATCCTTGGAGAAGGAAAATCAAACGTGCAAACATATGAGTTTGAGTTTTGACAGTAACAATGCAGTCTGAGACCCAATTTACCTTCACTGTCTGACATGGCATGTTGGAAGTCATCCATGATGTATGCTATGTCACGGTCATAGCCTCGAGTCCGTGATTCTTCTCTCATATGTTGCTGAACTTCAGGCAATGAGTGACTTGATCCAAACTGATCCCTGGTGTCTGCAGATATTGGTGGTAGTGGTCCAGCTGCCGCCCTGGCCATTCCCATTGGTTGGCCAACAGGACTTAGTGGACTTTCTTCTTCAGAGTTCTGGGCCACAATTGGTATTCTTCCTCTACTCTGGCTAATAGGCAAACTGGTAGGCTTAGTTCTGCCAGAGGATGATGTATGACTAAAGGAAACATCTAGAGCTTCAGCCTCTTGAGCTTTTAGTCTTAGAGAAGAGCTGGAAGAATCTCTTTTAAGTGATAAATCAAGCCCATAGACAGAGGAAGGTCTGGAGGATGGTCTGGACCTGCTGCCACTACTGTATGGCCTATCTGCTTCATCTTGTAGAGCTGACCGTATGGTACTTCCTAATGTGCCGAGCCCTGAACCAAGGGACGATCCCATAAATTTCTGTTGGTCTGTAATATTTTTTCTGAGGCCAAAAGTGATATCATCTTGAAGAAGTCTTGCCCTGGAAGAAATTCCACCAAGAGATGAAGTGCTAGAAGTCATGTAGCTTGAATAATCAGGTTCCAGATCTCTACTTTCTTGAATAGGTGAAAATTTTGCCATTTTAGGATCAATTAATGATTTTTTATGCTTTGACTGCTTTTGATAAAGTATGGCTGCTGGTAATTGCTTAGCCGCTTGTTTTTCAAGAGTGAGTCTACTGATGCTGTATTTTTCAGATTTTGGAAAATGTCTATAGCTAGTATCAGCATGGTAATAATGGGATAGGCCAGCAAGGTGATCTAAGCTCTCTGTTCCTCTACGGAATTCTTGTTTAATCTGATGTTTTAGAAGTTTTAACTCATAAGGATCCTCCATTGGGTCTTCCTCTGCTTTCACATAACTGTGCAATCTGGAGGAAGTCTGTAAAGGTGCTAGGAAATCTGTCACTTCTTGTGACCTACGTGTCTCAGTAGTTCTTAGGAGATGGTCTGTTTTTGACAGATCTTTTTCATGAAGGCTAAATGCAGTGCTTAATGCTGCTGTTCCTTTGGTTATCTCTCCAATGTCATCAATCAGGACATAATTTCGTGGAGTGTGATGATCAATATCTGCATAAAAAGAATCAGCAGATATGCTTGATATTGGACTGCTTGTCATGCTACTTCTTTCCTCCAAGCCAATTCTCAAGTCTAAACTATTGTATTTACTGCCAAGATGGGAAACAGCATATGTATTATCAGTAGAAACAGGAGCTATCATCAGGGGTTGGTTACGAATCACCTCATAGTTTGACGTTATCTTGGGGTCCAAATACAATGTGGCTTGTCGTGGCTTTTGTTGTATCACCATCATCTGTGATGGTAACTGATAAGAAGGTTGCGGGCTTGGTGTAGGTTGTGCTTGAGGCGTGAAGGACATTGTTGCCACAGCTTGAAAGGTTGGCTGAGTCTGGTAAGGTGAAACTTGCTGATGGTACAGAGATTGTTGTTGAAAATGGGACTGCTGAGTGTATGGAGTTGGTGCTTGGGTAGGAAGAGCAGGGGAAGAGTATTGGTATTGTGTATAAGGACTGGTAGGAGGGACTAGTTGAGATTCTGGTTGGGTTTGTGGGGGTATAAACTGGCTGAATTCAGTCTGGGGAGCAGTTCTAGGTCGCTCGATGCCATGCTGGCTTTCTACTCGGGTTGGCCTGGTGCTGCTCACTTCACTGTCAGACATGTAATCACGATCCTCGGCTACTCCCTGCAGGTAGGCTCGCTCTCTCTTTTCTCTTTCCTTTAATAATGCCTCTTTCCTCCTATTAATACCCATCTCCAAGTACCGTAGTTTGGCATCAATCTCCTTTTCTTCCTCATCGAGTTCTGCTTGCTTCTTCCTAAGCTTTGCTGATTCCCTCTCCACAAGATCAAGCTCCCTGTCTATGTCCTGCAGAATCTTGGCTCTTGCCATTGTGTTGGTTCTGCAGATCCTTCTTCTGGAAGCAGTTCCAATTGTGCTGTATGTAGACTGAGTTCCGGTGGAAGTCTCCTCGGGAGGTGGATTTGGCAGAGTTCTCTTAACTTTTTTCTGGGTGCCAGAGGCTGTCACAGTCTGAGAACCTTTCGTCTATAAATAAGTAAATAAAATTGTACATTTTTATCAAGGCAATAAAACAAAGGACAAAAAAGGTCATAATTTGTATTTAAATAGAAATAATTATATATATATATATATATATATATATATTTTAGCTAACCCAACACACTCAAAATTTTCTGCATAATTTTGTATACTGGTCACATATGCAATTAATGGAAAAATAATTTTTCTTTCCTTAGTAAAATAGTTATTTATTATTATAACTCATCCAGCAACAGAAAACTATAATTTTTTGACAAATCCTATTTTAAATCTTTAAAAAAATATTCATTTGTGAAAACATTAATATTTTATCCCATACTTTTGAATATCAATGGACTATAATGAAGTAGAAATAAAACCAAAAACAAGATCTCATGCTGTTGTTGTTAGGTGCCGTCGAGTCGGAACCAACTCAGAGCAAACCCTCCATGGGTTTCCAAGGCAGTATCACTATGGAAGTAGATTGCCCAACCTTCCTTCTGAGGAGTGGCTGGTGGATTTGAACTGCCAGCCTTCTGGTTAGCAGTCAAGTGCCTTAGGCACTATGCTACCATTAATTACTATTTTTCCAAAATACTAACAAAGATATATGAGTTTTCCATTAAAAAAAATTCTATTATACCTCTGAATTTAATTCAAAGTCCTTTGAATTTAATACTTTTCAATCAGAGGCTGAAATAACTTACTGTTTCTTTCTTTGTTTTTTTAACATATATTTAGTATATCAAGTATGTACATAAGAATTTTTATAAATTTTTATCAACTTTAAAACTTAAAGTGTTCATGATTGAAGTTATGAAATGACTTAATAAAAGAGTGTTTAATTTTGCTACCATAGAAGTGTTATGGTACTGGTTAAAAATATCCACCAATATATGCACAACTAAATGCCAGTATTGGCAGAGAGAAAGACTGTAAGACAAAATATAAACATAGAATGGCACAAAGCGAGATAAAGAGAAGAAATTTGGAGGTAGAAAAGTACATTTTGAAAATTAATTAAAAATTATTATATGTGAACAAAGCAGTAAAAATATATTAGAATTACAGAGAGTGAAATGAAGAGGTAAGATAAAGACTTGTGAGTATGTGTAATTCCCAGAATTCACTGTTTCGAGTGAGAGTATATGTGAAATCTTAGAAGACAAACTATGAGGAAGTGCAGCAAAGACTATTTGTGGCATTAAAAGTAATTCTGGGCTGACTCGATGGCACATAACAACAACATTATTTCTTGTTATTATTGATCATATTCATATTTTATTTTTTGCCTAATATGCTATTTGTTAAAAGTCCTCACTTGAGAAAGTAGATTTACATAATTTCAATAAATTTTCATAAAGTACTAGGTTAAGATGTCTTTTAGGTATTGGAAATTTCTTGAACTATCTCCATTTTGTAGATATTTAATGATCCATACCTTGTGTTTATTAACATTTCATGAGACATGAAAGCTACAGAAAAAGCAGGTTTGTAGAAGCAAGTCACAGAGTTAGCCTAATATTATTCAACTTCCAAAAATGTAAATAGTTTTCCTCTTCCCTACTTATATTTGCTAATAAAGTAATATATTCCATGACACAAAGTTAGGGATTTGTCAAGGTCTCCACTATATCCCTCACAAATGAGAGGCAGTGTAACATCACTATACTAAGAAGCTATATTAAAAGTACAGGCTCTTGGGTCAGACTCTCTAGATTTCAATCTTGGTTCCATTTCTTATGAACTGTGAGAAGTTTAGCAAGTGGTTTAAATTCCCTGGGGCTTAGTTTTATCACCTACAAAAAGATATTAATATTAACTCTAATCTTATTATTGGTTTGTCTAAGAAATAAATGAGTTAATACAAGTAAGGAGTTTAGTCTAGTACTTGACACAGATATATCTAACTACCTATGAATTTATATATAAATCGAATGAATATATCTCTATCACCTATCTATCTATCTATCTATCTAACTATCTATCTTCCTTCAATGTTTTACTTAATAGATACTTCAAGGGGATGTATCTTACTCGACTATTTTAGTCAAAGTCCTAGGTCCCAAAATGATCAAGGAACAGAGTTTTTGTTTTCAATAAAATTATTTGCTGAGTTATTTCATACCACAACAAAGCTGACTTCATTCTCAGTATTTTAATCTCCAGCATCTCTTCAAACATCAAAGGAATCAGAGAGAAAACAGCACACTTTTCAAAGTTAGCTTCTAACAAAGTTAGTGCCCCGATTTCAGATTTCTAATCTTAATGAAGGAGTTCTGTTGGTGTAGAAGGCTTAATCTTGGCACTATCAGAGAAGTGTTCTAAAAGTGCACTGTTGTCAACTGAAAAGAGATTTAAATCTTTCTTAAGTGACAAGTGCTTTGGTATAAAGACATTCTATCTATTACAGCATCCCATCAGAAAAATCCAAGTAGGTATGCAAGCCTTGCTTCAGGGAAAGCCATCTCATTAACTGTTGAAAATACATGATATTGTATTGGTCATGAGGAATACAGGGAAAATAAATTTGATATAAAGAAAAACAAAACAAAACAAAAAACAATCAAATATGTTTGATGTCTAGGCCAGCTAATTCCATAGAAGTTGTTTTTGTTGCTGTTACTAGGTGCCGTCAAGTCAGATCTGTACAACAGAAGGAAACATTGCCCAGTCCTGTGCCTGCCTCACAATACTTGGTACTCCTGAGCTCGACATTGCAGCCACTGTGTCAATCTATCTCGCTGAGGACCTTCCCCTTCTCCACTCACCCTCCTCTTTACCAAGCATGACAGCCTTCGCCAGGGAATGGTCCCTTCTGACAACATGACCAAAGTAGGTGAGACAAAGTCTGGCCATTCTCACTTCCAAGGGGCATTCTTGCTGTACTTCTTCCTGGACAGATTTGTTAGCTCTTTTGGCAGTCCATGGTACTTTCAGTATTCTTTGCCAACACCACATGTCGAAAGCATGAACTGTTCTTTGGTTTTCCTTATTCATTGTCCACCTCTCACATGCGTATGAGGCAACTGAAAATACCATGGCTTGGGTTAGGCAGACCTTACTCTTCAAAGAGATTATCTTCACTCTTTAGCACTTTAAACAGGTCTTTTGCAGCAGATTTGTCCAATGCAATACGTTGTGTGATGTCTTGACTGCTACTTCCATTGGTGTTGATTGTGGAACCAAGTAATATGAAATCTTTGACAACTTCAACCTTTTCTCCATTTATCATGATGCTGCTTATTGGCCCAGTTGTGAGGATTTTTGTTTTCTTTATATATTGAGGTGTAATCCATACTGCAGACTGTAGTCTTTAATCCTCATCAGTAAATGCTTCAAATCATCCTAACTTTCAGCAAACAAAGTTGTGTCATCTGTATATCACAGGTTATTAATGAGTCTTCCTCTAATCCTGATGCCATGATCATCTTCATATAGTCCAGCTTCTCTGATTATTTGCTTAGCATAAAGATTGAAAAAGTATGGTGAAAGGATACAAGCCTGATGCACTCCTTTCCTGATTTTACACCATGAAGTATCCCCTTGTTTTGTTCAAATGACAGCTTCCTGCTCTATGTACAGGTTCCTCATGAGAGCAATTAAGTGTTCTGGAATTTCCATTCTTCTTAATGTTATCCATAATTTGTTATGATCCTCACAACTTAATGATTTTGCATAGTCAATAAAACACAAGTAAACATCTTTGTGGTATTCTTTGCTTTCAGCCAAGACTCATCTGACATCAGCCATATCTCTCATTCCACGTCCTCTTCTTGCATTTCTGGAAGTTCTGTTAGTATACTCCTGCAACTGTTTTTGATTTATCTTCAGCAAGATTTTACTTGCATGTGATATTAATGATATTGTTTGATAATTTCCATATTCTGTGGGATCACCTTTCTTTACAATGGAAATATGGATCTCTTCCAGTCAGTTGGCAAGGTAGCTATCTTCCAAATTTCTTGGCATTGACGAGTCAGTTTGCCATACTTTGGTAGTTTTCAGGTTGCTGTGAGGATTGAGGCTATGCCACTTTTATTTCAAGTACCAGCAGAGTCACACATGTGGATGGGTCAGTGGTATTTCCAGACTAAGACAGATTCAGAAGGAAGAGGCCATCCACTTCTCAAAGAATTGGCCAGTGGAAACCTTATGAATAACAATTAAACACTATCTGATAAATTACTGGAAAATTTTATAAATAGCCCTGAAACACTGTCTGATATAATGCGAGCAGATAAGCCCCACAGGTCGAAGGCACTCAAAATATGACGGGAAGAGCTGCCTCCTCAGAGCAGAGTCAACATTAATGATGTGGATGAGTAAAGCTTTTGGGAACTCCATCTCCTAATGTGGCATGATTCAAAATGAGAAGAAACAGCTATAAATTTCCATTAAGTATCAGAACATGGAATGTATGAAGTATGAATCTAGGAAAATTGGAAGTTGTCAAAAATGAAATTGAATGCATAAAGATCCATAGAAGTAAATGTTACAAATTAACTTTATCATCGTAGAAAATTAAGTCATACTTCAATTAAGTTTGTTCACTCATTTATCTCTGCAACAAAATATTATTGAGCATCTGTCATAAATAATAATTATTAATAACACATACTAGTATTAGGCTGGCATTTATTGGCATGTTGTAATAGAAAGTTATCTTAAAAACTGCATAAATATTTCTAGGAATATGAGTATATTTTGCCTTCTTTTTAACATAAGCTAATTAAAAAGAAAATTCACTGCTGTCCAGTTGGATCTGACTCACAGGGACCCCTCATTGGGATTCTGAGGCAGCATCACTACAGAAATAGATTGCCCAACCTTCCTTCCAAGGAGTGGCTAAGGGTGGTAGGTTCTCATAATAGTTCAAATATCAAGACGTGGCTTAGCAAAAAGAGATAAGCATTCTAAGCCTATCCAATTGATGTTGTTGTCATTAGGTGCCAGCAAGTCAGCTCTGACTCATAGCGACCCTATGTACAACAGAACGAAACACT